ACTGGGGGGAATCGGTGAGCAACGGTGTCTTTCATCTCGTCCTAGCCGCCTCACGCGGGGCGGCACCTGCTGAAAGCTGCACTTGACTCGCTCTTCCTCCACCTGCTCGTGCGCTCGGTGTGTGAGTGTGTGATGTTAAACAAGTTTCGATGCACGGTGCTAATGTACCCTAACTCTTGTGAGGAAAGTGCTAAAGGGCTGTGGTTTGCAACCTTTTTGGCTCATGACCCCATACGACAAAAATGGCGGGTCTTATAACTATTTAAAGAAAATTAAGACTAAATTATCCAATATTTCACCAAAAATGATTAGAGAAAATAAATTGGGATTTCTGTATAAGAATCGGTTTTCTTCTATCCTCTCCCATACATTTTCTGACGTCCCCTAAGATGTTTTTTGGCGACCCTTCAGGGGCCCAACCCTTAGATTTGGAACCCCTGCTACAGGGTCAGGGTTTGTTTTTCCACACTTTAAAAAAAAAACAAGAAAGATATCTTGTTTTTATAAATGAGTTAAAACCCCAACTTTTATTGGAAGCAATTAGGCTTCTATTCATGTTATATTAGCCCCAGAAAGCTATAATCTTTATGGTTACATTTGCTCATTAAAAAGGTAATCTTGTGATTTAAAAATAAGCATTTACAAAATAGCTGTGAGATGGAAAAGCTCCAACAATGACACTTGTGGAGCAGATAAAAATACATATCAATATTGATTTTTACGGAAAAATCCAGGGTTAAAACTTCTGTCGGTGGGGATGACATTGTTAAGAATGTTTGAACGGCATTTACAGTACAATTGTAATACATCAGAATGTCAGTTTGTTGATAAGATATTCCTTTTATGACTCTTTCTTGCTGTACTCTTTGTAAGATAGTAACCGGTTTTCCATACAGCCTTCTTACTGTTAACGTGTCAAGTTGAGTGTGTGTGGGTGTGTTTGATGTTTAAAGTCTTGTTAACTGTACAAGTGACGGAGCTCTGCCAGTGTTTGTGAGAGAGACAACTTTACATGATTTGGTGATTGCAGGACAATGATACTCAAAGTGTGTGTGATGCACTTCCATATGGCTACTAGATCGCTGTTTCAAAGTATTATAAGTATATTGGATAATGACAACGCATTCAGAAGGCTCAGTATTACACAGCTAAACAGTGATTTTCAATCGATCAACTTTGTGGGTGTGTTGATATTATGTTATCATCTACTCCATAATGTTTTCTGTTCAGTGCTCCTAATATCTGAACAGGTTATCTTGCTGTTCAGACTTGTGGACATTTTCATCCCTTTCGAGGTGTTAAAGCATCTAAGAAGCACTTTTGATCATAGCTCAGTCAGATGAGTCATTTCATTAATACTATTTTTGAGTTTCGTTGCAAATAAATGTGCTTACAAGAACACACTTTTTATTACATGTAGGCTACTGTAGGTATGGCATAACATGTTTTGATATCCTACATGTAAAAGCCTTGAAATGGGATGTTGTTTTTAAGCTGTCAGTGCTTCCTGTGTGGTAAAGTAACATCTGTCTGGTACAATATTAAGCACTCCTCCAACCTGCTGTAATCTCGAATCTTTCTCTTTTTTTGCCAAGCCACAGTCACTTTCCCTTTGGCTTCTTCCAGCCTCTAGAAAACAACAAGCCTAACCCTGATTCACACTTTGAAACACAAAATAAACACCACAAGTTTCCATCTTCAGCAGATTGTGCCTTGTTTGTCCCTGCAGGTACGACTCGATACAATCCTGAGACATTAAACACTTCAGTTCCTAACATGTGCAGCCAGCGCAGCGAAACGTGGTGAACTACCAACGCTGATCTGATCAGGGGCCTGAGAGCTTAAGACTGTGTATCTTTGTGGATTCTGGAGGGAACTTTGGCATCCTCGGTAACCCCCAAACACACACACACACACACACACACACACACACACACACACACACACACACACACACACACACACACACACACACACACACACACACACACACACACACACACACACACACACACACACACACACACACACACACACACACACACACCTCGACGTCTGTCGGTTGTATACAGATGGATGGCAGAGGCTGTGTGTGGAGCAAGTGGATTATGAGGAACGGTAATTGGCTGTCCAGAGAAGCTGCCCATCTGTGTGTGTGTGTGTGCGTGTGTGCGTGTGTGTGTGTGTGTGTGTGTGTGTGTGTGTGTGTGTGTGTGTGTGTGTGTGTGTGTGTGCATGTGTGTGTGTGCACGGTGAGTCCGGAGTTCATCATGTTCTCATAACGGTCAGTTAGGGTTGTCCGCCAGGCTCGATCTCCTGTCGGGATTGTAAATGTTATTGATCAGACGCATAGGCTGCATTCATAACGAGAGCTGAGACACTGTTTTCACACACACACACACACACACACACACACACACACACACACACACACACACACACACTAGAGTACAACTCATTAGTAGCCATACACACTCATAGACATATCCTCATTAACACTCCTGAGTCATACACACTAAACATCCATGCGCATCTAGTTGTCAGACAACACACACACTGACTGATTTAGTTGAGTGAGATGGGGGAGAGTGAAGGATGGGGGGCACACAAATGTGGACATGAATGGTGTGTGTGTGTGTGTGTAGCACCTCAGTGTGTGTGAGTGTGCACGGACATTTGTGTTTGTGCCTGTATCGAGCGTGACATTTGTGTCAATGTACAGCTACGCACAGCAGTGTGTATCACATGACTGTGTGTGTGTGTGGCTGTGTGACTGTGTGTGTGTGTGTGTGTGTGTGTGTGTGTGTGTGTGTGTGTGTGTGTGTGTGTGTGTATGGCACGTGTCAGAGTCTGTCAGCCCCGGCGTCTCGTGTCAGGGCGAGAGGCGAGACATTAACAGCTTCTGTCATTCTGCTGACAAAATGGTGGCAGAAGATTTCCCATGGTGCCCTGATGACTGCTGGCGTTTGTCAACAAGCCCTGTCACTGCGGCAATGAGGGGAGGGAGGGGGGGT